TCCCTGGGGAAACCTGAATGCGAGAACGCTGGGACTCTTCGAAAGAGACGTGGGAGGAAACCCGTTTAACTTTGTTAGGAAGGAAGATGAGGCAAGACAAGGAGTGAATCTCCTCGGACTCACGGGTGCTGGTGGAGGGCAGGAATATGGTGAAGTGGAAGATGAACCAGCGCAGTGCAGAGATGAACAAACTCTTGAACTGACCACCACTACCACCCGCAACTCGTCCAGAAGTACCATCAGCAGCCTAGCCACAGAACTATTGGTAAACACTGGCTCTGCGACAAAAGTGGAAGTCTTGAACGCCATAAAGTTGCCGAAATCCGGGAAAACAGCAGGACCAGTGCAAATTCCCCCAGAAGCACTAGAATCAGACGCCAAGGCAACAGCAGAAGTGCTCACACCGCTACTCCAGAAGGTTTGCAGGGAAGAAAAGGCTCCTCTTAAATGGAAGAAGGGCTGCCCTGTTGAACTCGCAAAGAAGGATGACCCAAGTCAATACAAGAACAAGAACCGTCGCTGAGTCCAGCTCCTGTCCACCCCAAGCAAAATATTAGGCTGCGTCATCCTAGAGAGACTAAAAACGCCTTGGATTCAGACTTACTATGGTAACAGGCTGGCTGGCTGCCTTCAGGAAGAACAAATCATGTGCGGATCAAATACCAACGCTAAACTACGCATCATCATAGAACAGATCATTGAATGGCGGTCAACTGTCTACCCCTACTTCGCAGACTTTGCGGAGGCCTTTGACAACGTCGACCGAGAAGTAATTTGGCAGCTGCTCCAATGATAGGGAGTAACACAAACCTTTATCAACCTCATTCGACAACTATATGCTATATGATGCTACATGCCAGGTGATTCACAACAGAAAGCTCAGTGATGCCTTTGAAGTGAACACAGGAGTAAGACAAGATGGCCCGCTCTCATCGATGATCTTCTTGATTGTGGTGGAATGGACTGAACTGGATCAGGCAGCAGACTGCGGGGGATGAGAATAGGATCATGTGCTGTTTGGCCGATGAAAAGAGACTAAATTTGGATTTCACCGAGGATGATTTATGTCTAATGTCACAAAGGCTCAAATATCTACAGGCAAAAAATAACAGGTTGGCGGAAAAGGCGAGACGGTGAAGATAAGGCTTTAGGTGAACGTAGAGAAAACAGAGGTGGCAAAGAACCCCAACCAACGTCAACAACATACACCTACTACCATCAACGGGGGAAGTCTGAACGGAATTGTCTCTTTCACCTACCTCGGCAGCACGGCTTCAACTAAAGGCGACACAGATGACAATGTCAAAGTCAGGATCGGAAAGACATCAGAGCAGGCCTTCGTCAACCTGAAATCAGTGTGGAGATCTGCTGGACTGCAGTGCTAGCAGGTTGCAACTGGAGATGTGGTATGGGCTACAGTCAGCCCCTGGTGTTCGTAGCGTAAAGTGGCGTTGTACTCCTTAAATTTTTCTTCTGTCGTCTGTACAAAGACCACTTAAGATAAACGGATGCTCACTTTGCGGAGTAGGACCCTTGATTCAGTGCTACAAAAGTTACGGACGGTGCATGCAAGGAGTTTACTTGACTTAGATGTGATATAAACCGATTGTTCGCAGAATATTAAGTCACTGGAATATCTAAGACCAAGACCTAACAATGAAAAACGTCTAGGTAGCTTTTTTCCGCATACTTTGAGAGACACTTTTGGTTTATTGCTGCATATACCAAGCAAACCACATTTATCGATGTTGAACTGGAGATGGGACTCAACACAACATTTGGTAACCCCACCTAATTCTTGTTGACCAGTAGATAGCGTATTGCTTAGTTAATGGGTGTGACATTAGTATACAACCTTAGGGTCATCAGCACATAGGAATGTTTCCCCTACAGTGAAGCACTTGCACACACTATTGATATAAGTTACGAACAACAAAGGTCTAAGAACACTACCCTGTTTTCTAAAAACGATCTGTTGAACATGTTTGCTGATGGATGACATAAAATATAAGGACACTTCTTGAATACGAAGCTTGATAGACCATCTAGACTTGAAATGTGAGAAGGGTTCAGGGATTTGATAGATTTGAAAACATCGTTCGCAGTGAACTCTGGACAGCGTTCTTCATTCGACATAGGTGGAGAGAGTGGGATGGGACAGATGGGTTGACGTATAAACGGTTCGTTCAAGGCATAGACACCGAAATGTGCTTCTTTACTGTAGTATTTACCACCGGTGAGGCATTTAAAAAGTTTCCACATGCCGAAGAGACCTTGTACAACAAACGTTTCTGGTTGTAGAGTAGACTCAGACGTTTAATTTCCAACCTAATTAAGACGTTCAATTGACGAGCACCAGCAATATCACTTACCTTATACAGTCTTTCTTTTTCTCTCCCTAGTCTCTTAAGCTGTGTAGAAGATGTACGATCGAAGCGTAGGAAAGCCTATTCACTACGTCAACATATTTCTAGGCAGAACCTGAAATAGCATGTTGCACCATCATTAGCATCATTCAAATCACCGCTGTCAAATATATTCCAGTCTGTACATTGAAGCATCTCTCTTAGGTTAAATATGTTACTAAGTGAATAGTTCCTATGTACAATCATTTCATATGTGAAGGCTGCTTTTGTAGTTTGTCATATATTTTGGGCAAAACGCGTATGATACAATGATCTGAGCTCAGCAGTGGGGACCTCTTTCGAGCTTCGTATGTATCAGTAACACTGACGAATACCAAGTCCAGTGTTGCATCCTGACGCGTTGTGAAGTTAACAATGTTTCGATGACCAAGAGTTTTGAGAAATCTTCGTTTATAGAAGTTGAAATCGCCAAATATTATCGACAGGGAACCACACATTATGAGGACTGCAAATTCTGTGTATATATCAGAGAATTTGGGTAGTCCGGAGAAACTGCAACCAAGCGTCACAAAAATATTTGTTGTGTAAATAAGGCGAAATATGTTCGAAAGTTTTGGGCGGCATTTCACAGTGATGCAACCCATGTAGTCGTTTGAGAATTTGAAACATATGTAACTTCGAAAGAACTAGTGGGTACTGATGAATGTAGCTACTCCACCTCCAATTTTTTCGTAAGGCTACATCTATCTTGACGGAATATTTTGGGGTCATTCAAACTGTCATCATACGGGTCATTCAACCAAGTTTGTTGCAGTGTGGTTACTCCAGTATTTCGATATACATCGGTGGATAAAAGGAGATTGTGGGTAATCTATTTCTCGCTGCAGTGACCTGTGGATCCTGCATACGATCATAGGCAGTTACTTCAGATAAAGGTCTTCCCTTCAAAGCTGTTTGCCGTCCGCCATGATGCTTTTTCTTCATTTTACTTCATACGGGTATCTAGGAAGCAATATTATCACTTGTCCATTGGATTCTTAGTGGAACAAAGAGTTTCAGCAGCACTCAGTTTAAGGACCAGTAACACAACACTTTTCCCGATTACCTTTCTAAATAGCTTGTGTACATACCTCATACAGACTTTTTTTCAGTCTCTTGAGATATCATTGCACTTAGTCTTATTACTCCTGAACTTTCTCCAAACTAACTTCAAGCAAAATCTATCATCGCAGAATATGTCGGCTCCACATACATAACATTCCCTAGTTATATTTGCTCTTTTTTGTTCGACACACCACATAGTGATACAGTTTCACTTACTCAATGAAGCTTCAGACATAAATTATTGCTCATAATCATATCACAACTTTCGGTATCTGGTTTTTATAGTTCCTTTTTGTCGTGTATTCAGAAAAGACAGATTTCTCAAGTTCTGTGAAAAGATTGTTGTCTACTATCTATTCAGGTTGCGACTGAAAATTGAGCAGCTGAAGCATGAGAGTAAATCTGTTTACCTATTACTCAAAGTTCTCAGCCAATTGATCTAACCGCTTGCTGTAACAATTTATCACAGGCTCATGTTTCTACGACAGTTTAAATAATTATTGTATTTTTCGCATTAACCTCTCGAAAAGACTGCTGACCGCTACTTAATATTGACACCTTTGCGACCTTTTTCACTTTTACACCGTCATTGGTAAAATTGACCATTTCACATTTAGGTTGTTTTAGATTCCCGTAATACTCAGGAAAGAATATGTCAGTATATCTGTTAGTTCAGGAGGCTGAGAATCACTAGGTTTCGCTGAGCTTTGGTTGTAGATCACAAGTGTGGAGACGGTTTAAAATAGTGTGTAAACCACTTCAACTATAAGCAATATTTCCTTTTCATCGTTTCTGTACATTCTTCCTAATACTTGTAAAAACAAATGTTGTTTATATATACACTTTTTTGGTTGTGGCGGTAATTGCATCTTTTGCTGCTGCTAATCGTGGAAATATAATGTGCTTCTAACTATTCTGACTTCTGCCTCCGTGACTATTTCCTGTCGTGCATAATAACTGATTGTCTTGGGAATTTACAGGACTTCTCATCCTACTTCCAAATATTACGACAATCAAGCCGACCGACGACCACTGCGAAGAGACAACAAATATCGCCTTCTGATCTATGGAGTATCCTAGAATCGTGGTGGACAATACCTAAGAGATAACCTCCAAGTAACTAGTGGTTATCTATAACATTGACAATACTATTTATGCTATAACGTATAACTTTTCATACATGTGTATCATAAAATCCATTTTTCTTGTAAGTTATACGTAGTTTGTCATTTTGGTTTACTTGACATTCTTTGGGTCCAGTACACAAGTACTAATCATCCTAGTTTCCACAGTAAACTGAGATTTAGCTGGATGAAGATAAGAATCTCAAGCATTTCTCGAAAAATACTGTGAAATTTCATGTCTTCATGCTATATTTCAACGGAGTTACTACAACTAACTGGAATTCAAATTTAAATACTCAGAATTCCATACACTGCATGAGGCAATCAACCACATAACAAACACAAGTTTCAGGTCAATTCAGTCCGTGATCAAAATTTGATTTATTACCAAAAGAAATGGCGTGAGTTAAGATAGCATAAACCGAGAAGACCTACCTCGTTTAGGAAAAGGTGGAACAGGTGGTTTGGCTTTTCCAGTACCATAAGGTTTCTTTGGTGCTCCCATCATTTGTGAAGCCGAAGTACAAGTAGGATGAGATTCGGAATAGGAAGGCTGTGTTTCATGGAGCTGGGCTTTTAATAACTCAGCACTAGAAAGCTGAAGTTGATTAAATAATATCTCAATACCGATTTAACCCCTCTTTAGCGAACTTATTTATCTGCTCAAGTAAAAAACTATCACTGATGTCTCGTTTCTATAAATGATCAACTCATTAATATGGGTTTTACTAAAGATAACAGCAACTCCACAGCCAAAGTATAAAGCTCGATTGCCTCAGAAACATTGCCTTTCTCATCTTCTGACACAGCATCGTTCAGTAGACAACGAGCTCTTGCTAAATCAACCTAAAACAAGAGTTGATGTAAAATATGATCAAACCTTGCTTTTGTTAATGTTGGTGTTTGGTACGGACACATTCTGCATGGCAATTCTCAATTTGAGCTCCTTCACTTTTTCGCTATACTTCTGAGCCAACTGAAGTAAGCCCTCAGTTGTGGAACCAGCCTCCAAAGAATTCAAAAGAGCTTGGGCGGCTTCCTAGAAATGATAACGAAATTATTGGGAAACTACAGTGTAATAAAAGGCAGCTGATCCATAATGTCCCTCAGATTCCTGTTCCACTGCAAGTCTCTTAAACAACTCCGCATCTTTCTCCAGCTCAACGGAGTTGGCCATTCATAAATAAGATGAACACCACGGAGATGTTTTCCAAAGGATGTTGATCGGTAACGAATAACGATAACTGCAGGTCAACAACTGGACATAACCATGAAGCAATGACCTAAAGACAAAACGATAAATGGAAAGCGCGGTTAGATAAATGAGAGACAAAAGCATGAAGAACAGTAATTGTAGTACTATTTGTCCACTGGGTTCTTAGTGGAACAAAGAGTTTCAGCAGCACGTCTCCAGTGAACTCTCTTCTCTGAAATCTTTTGAACCTGGCTCCATGACAGCCCACAAGCTCTTATTTCTTCCTCCAAAGATCTTCTCCATGTCACCCTCACCTCCGACGCCCAACTTGTCGTTTCCCATATTGGTTCCACTAGAGGAGCCTGACGCGTGACGTCCCCACTCGACATTCTCAGTGTATGCCCAATCCATCTCCACTTCCTTCTGCATATTTGTTACGTGATAGGTTCTTGGTTGGTTCGTTCCCAGAGCTCCTTGTTGCTTATTCTTTCTGGCCATCTGATCTACAGTAACGAGACAGCGTGGGCAGTTGTTGATGAATGTCTGTAGTTTGTTGGAAATCCCTTTCGTAATGCGCCAAGTCTCTGAACCATACAGAAGCACTGACTTGACTGGATTGGTGTTGAAAATCCGGATCTTGTTCCACATGCTGAGTGCAGTGCAGAAGATCTCCACACTGGTTTCAGGTTGATGAACGCCTGTCTTGCTGTCTTTGCGATCGTGGCTGACTTTGACATCCTCGTCTGTGCCACCTGCTTCCTAGATAGGTGAAGGAGGCTACTTCGTTTAAGTTTCTCGCGTTGATGGTGATTGGAGCTTGTTGATGTTGGTGGTGGTGTTGATTGAGTATCTCCATCACCTCTGTATTCTCTATATTCACGTGAAGTCCCGTCTTCGCTGCCCTGCCTCTTCTGTCAACTTGTTAGTTTTCGCCTGTAGATCTTCAAGTTTGTGTGACATCAGACACAAGTCGTAGGTGAAATCCAAGTACTCTAGGATCTTTTCCGCGGTCCAGCCAGCGCAACTCCCTCTTCTCGCTCCTAACAGTTTGCTGCATGATCCAGTCGACCACAATCAGGAATATCATGGGTGATAGTAGGTAGCAGCCTTGTTTTACTCCTGTCTTCACTTCAAAGGCATCACTGAGCTTCCCATTGTGAATCACTTGAAATTTAACATCATATAGCATTTAGTTGTTGAATGAGGTTCATAAAAGTTTTTGGCACTAAAACTGTAGTGTTGAGGCAGCTGCCTACCAAATTACTTCTCGATCGATGCTATCAAAGGCCTTTTCAAAGTCGATGAAGTTGAGGTAAAGGGTTGACTGCCATTCTATACTCCGTTCTATGATGATGCGTAGCCCTGTAATTTTATGTGCATATGATTTGTACCACCTTATTCAAGCTTATTCCGGTCGTAGTTTTGATCCAGTGCATCCTTTAGTCTCTCCAGGATGATTCGGTTTAATATTTTGCTGGCTTTGGGTGGACAGGAGCCTGATTCCGCGCTGGTTCTTGCAAAGACTTCGGTTGTCCTTCTTCAGGAGTTTGACAAGGTAGCCCTTCTTCCAATCGCCAGATACCTTCTCTTCCTTCCATACCTTCTGCAACAGTGGTGTGAGGATGTCGGCTGTTGTCCCTGCGTTTGCTCTCAGTGCTTCTGGCGGGATTCTATCTGGTCCTGCTGCCTTCCCGCATTTCAGTAGTCTTATGGCGTTCAGGACTTCAACTTTCGTTGGAGGGCTTGTGTTCACCTGTAGCTCTGTGGCTGCAGGTGGTATTTCTGGACGAAGTACAGGTAGTGGTCGATTCAAAAGCCTTTTGAAGTGGCCAGCACATCGTTTCGTTTGTTGCTCTTCTTTGGTAATTGGACTTCCTCCATCATCTTTTATTGCTTTTATCTGCGTTGATCTGTTCCCGTAGTAACCTGCCATTTGATACAGTGTTGTCAAGTCTCTCCTACCAGTAACCTGTTCTGCTTCACTTGCCAGTGTGCTGTGGAAGTGTCCTTCGTCTTTTCGGACACTCTTCTTCACTTATTTGTCCAATGTTTTATACATTGTACTCAGTTCCTCTCCTCGTCGTTCATCCTTGCACTAGTTTATCTTCTGCTTCACCATCCTCCTCTCCTCTATCAGCTTCCATGTGTCCATCGAGAATCATTCCTTATCTTCCTTCCTAATACGGTTATGAAGGTTTCTTTCCACATCTCTTTCAATGACTTCCAGTGTTCATCCACACAGGTTTCTTCAGGGATGTTCCTCGATATCTCCTAGTTTGTCTTGATGGCTGACATGAAGATTTCCTTTGTAGTTCCATCCTTCAGTTTGTGTTCTGGGTGTTGAACTTGAACTGTGGTCTATCACCAGCTTCCTTGAAGGCTTTCAACTTGATTTTGAGGGTAGGTTCCTCGCACTAGATAGTGAGTTGTCTGAATCTACATCTGCTCCTCTTCTTGACCTTGTGTCAAGTAGGCTGCGTCTCCATTTTCTCCAGATTGAGATCTGATTTTTGGTGTGTCCTGGTGTTTGGTGAAATGCATATCGCTTTGTGGATATCCTTGTGCTTGAACACAGTGCCTCCAATCACCAAATCGTTGGATGCGCAGAATTCTGTTCTCTTCCTGTGTTGTTTGCTCCCAGTTTGGCACTCATGTAACTCCACCCATTAGAATTTTCATGCCACTAACTGAGGTCTTGTCCAGTCCTGATTGCAGTTGTCTGTAGAATTCCTCCTCCTTCTCTTGCTCTGCATTATTTGTAGGTGCATAGCGTAGCTCTGTATGATTGTGACCTTCATTCCTTCCTTTTGAGTTGAACTTTGTTGTCATGATCCTGTATGAGGAGGTTGGTTCCCACTGCATGAGACCCTTCGACACTCTTCGGGACATCATGATAGCCACTCCAAAACTCAATGTGCACGTGGTTGTCGTCTGGGTGACAATATCGGAGTAGACTATTGACTCTCCAGTTGACAGTTTGGAGAGTCCACTCCCATTCCATCTACTTTCGCAAATTCCAAGCACTTCTATGCCATGCCTTCTCATCTCTTTTGCAATCTGGGCTGCCCTGCTGGGTTCAAACATCGTGCGGACATTCCATGTCCCCACGTTTACTTTCGCTTTCATCGAGAGAAGACATATCGGCCAATTGGCTTCCTGAATACTTTCATCAACCAACGTCATTTCGACTCCCCGATTCCGGCGAGGAATAAGTTTGTTTTTATGTTTTACATTTTCTTCATGCTTTAAAGTTTCTTTGGCGGTTGGATTGGTTTTGCGGGATAGGGTTGCTAGCCCTATGCCTAACCTTGCCTCTTTATCCGGGCTTAGGACCGACTAGTAACTAGTGAACTATTTAACCAGGCGGGATTGGTGTCCCAAAATGCTGCCAACTTTTTAAAACCGTGCGTGAATTTATGATGCGATCATAGGACGTAATAGAACGAGTTAAACGAGACAATCCGTTGATAATTTGTTGCAACACTTTTTAAGAACGCGGCTTGGATCCTAAACCTCAGAATTATTCCTTATGGTACTTAAGACCTGTGTCACACCACACCTTGAGATGTTCAGCACGATAGCCCCTACACCAGTAAAGACAGACGCAAATACCCTCGAGAAGGTACAGATAAGAACAGCAGGATCGGTTGTCGGACTAACATGCAAAACATACGCTCAATGCCTCAGGCAACCTGACTTGTTAACACCAAGCTATCGAGGAAACGAGGTGACCTGATAACGGCTTACAAGATCATTCACCAAGTGGATCACCCAAACCGGTCAACGTTATCGGTCCAAAATCAACAGTGCCTTGGAAACCCCACTTGCATGCCCCACCATATATCAAAGACAAGCGTGAGATCTTACTTCTTCTCTCACAGAGCATATGCCCTATGGAAAGCTTGGCCGAAGAAAGTATCCACAGTCACATCAGTAGACTCCTTCAAAAGACTAGTGGATAAGTGCTGGAAAGAAAATAGCCTACCACGGACATTTGTCAGTAGCGTCTGACAATATGCTCTTATATCCCGGCACTCCCGACCCCAGTATCTGCAATAAGACGAATCTCCCTCCTTATTATAACCACCTACACTTATCCTTTCATGAGTACTTTTCACTCCTCTTTTTCACATTCTTCACTCGCCCTGTTTCTCGCTCTTTTTGAGTAATGCTTATTACTTACTTCCAGGCACTTGCAGAAATGGGGAATGCAGACGGCAAACTGATCTTATCAGCAGCTCCGTTGAAGCTCGCAAAACATACCAGGCTGCAATTTGCAGGCAAAATACCTTCAAATAGACAATCACTACCTCCAAGGCTATGGGCAGGAAAAACACGAAGGCCCCTGTGAACATCAAGGGGGTACTACCAAACAAAATAACCGAGCTACAAGTACTGGAGCTCAGAAACTATAAGTTTCCTCTACTCGCACTATTGATATTGGGTGTTGGATGATGGAAGAGGAAATGAATATCTGGCCTACGGCAAAACTTGAACAGGCAACCTCAAAGTAATCGGCCTGCTGCTCCGCCAACAAGCTGCGAAACCCAGGCAGTTCGAACATTGTCCAGTCAGCAGTAGAAAGGACACTGCGAAAGTAATTGTTGCGTTGTGAATACTTCCACGGAAATAAAATAGTTCCATCAAACTTGGCCACTGTATATAAGAAGGAGCCGACATCTCGTAACCCACAACTCGTTCTATAGTCTTACATACTCCTTCCATTCCCCCTGAGTCTATAACCTCACACAGTCCGGTAAGTTTCGCCCCGTCACTTATCTCCCAGGACCCAACCTAAGTGTCTCCTTCCCTACCGTTCCGCCTCCCTCCACGTAGCCCTTTGCCTTTCCTTCTTCCCACTTCCTCTCCATGGATTTTGCTGGACGTCTTCTCTATATCCTTTCTACAACCAGCCTGGTCAGCCGTCTGGTGATATGACACTTGAGGAACCCCTGTGCACCACGCTTCTTGTAAAAATCATT